GGATGGCGGTGTACACGACGAGGTGGAGGTGTGTGCGGCTCCGCCCCCGCAGTCGGCCTCATCGCTTCCGCCAGCTTCTGCACCTGTTTCCGACTCTGCGCCTCCGACGTCTCTGCAGGCTCCCTCACCTGTGTTGGACCCTTCCCCTCCTTCGGCCGCACCTGTTCCTTCTCCTGTCTTCTCTGTTGGTGGCGGTCTCATCCCCCGTGTTGTTGAGGCTGACGTTCTGCGGGGTCGTGCTTGCCCGGTTTTGGGGCGGCCTGCCGCCGGCTCCTCTCGGATGCCTCCTGCTGGGGGTGACAGCTCCGATGATCAACGGCCTGTCCCCAAGCGTTCGCGTACGGATACGGGTGATTCGCCTCCTCGTTTGTGGGCAGAGGAATGTGAGGATGCGGCGAGGGTTGATGTTTCTTCTGAGAGCTGTTCCTCTGTGGAGTGCGAGGATGGTGTGTCTGGTGTTGGTGTGGGGTCCGGTGAATGGTGTGGGCCATGGTGTGGCTCCTGCTGTGGGGGTGGGGGCCCATGTGGGGCCGGTACCTCTTGCTTCGGGCGCGTCGCCCGCGTCGGATGGTTCCGGTTCCCCGTGAGGGTTGGTTTCCCCCTTGCGGGGTTGAGAGTGGACGTGGCGACCTGGTGGTGGTGTTGAAGAAAACTGCTCGCTCTGAGGGTTCTGTGCCCACTCCCTCGTCCCCAGTTTCGTCGGCAGCGATTATGCCGCCCCACCCGTCTCTGGCCATTTCTTCTGTGTCTCCTGCTTTGTCAGAGGCGGGGTTGCCGTCTCGGCAGCCTCCGCCTGCTGTTCCGACGTCTCCTGCTTCCTCGGCGGCGGTGTTCCTGCCTCCCAAGTCGGGTTCGGCGTCTTCAGTGTCCCAGGGTTGGGTGCGACCGCTCCCGCTGGATGTGGTGATCCCCGAGTATATGGAATACCCGCGGTGTCGTTTGGGCCGTTCCCCTACCGAACTGGAATATTTAATATGGGAGGCTTGTAAGCGCAGGTATCCGTTGCGGAAGTTTCCTGAGAAATATCCTCCTTGTTGACTGTTGTGTGTTGTGAGGTTGCTTGCACCTGGGTGCGTGGGTGTGGGGTGGGGTTGCATGTGTGTGTCTGGGTCGGGGGGGGTTTTGTTTTCTGGTTCCTGCATGTTCCGGTTATTTATTTTTTGCTTATGGTTGGTGTGCGTGTGTTTGTTGTGTATTGCTTTGTTGCATTCCCTTGTTATTTCTTGTGTTTTACTTTCTATGTTGTATTTACAGTGTTATATTTACCATGTTCTGCTACTGTGTTCTCGATTCTGTGGTGTGATGTCTGCTGTTGTGTGGTGTGGCGCATGGTGCGTGTGTTTTGTGTTTGTGTTATTTTGTATATGTGTATTCCTTGTTTATATTTTACCCTTGGTTTTATTGTGATCTTTGTACACTTTTGTCATTACTGATGCTTGTGGTCCGCCCCATATGGGTAGTGCAGCTTTTGTTTGTGTGTGTGTGTGTTCTTATGTGTTTTCACTTTTGTGTTATGTTGATCTGTGTTACTTGTTATCTGTGTTACTTGTTATCTGTGTTATTGTTATTCTGTGTTATTGTTATTCTGTGTTCTGTGTTATTATGGGCTTTCCTGTTTTATATGGTTACTGTACGCTGTAATTACTTTGTTTTAAAAATAAAAATAAAAAAAAGTAGAAATCGGTATTATTGAATTTGGACAAACCGGAAAAGTTTTTGTATTTACGTTGCAAAGACAACCTAACCTAACCTTTCTAGGCCTAATACACGTTATAAGAGGCCTAATATAGTATATATATGTGCTATACTAAGTCTAGAAATATTTAAGTTCGGTTTTTAGCTTCATATTGTTCGAACTCTATAAAGTGAATAGTACCAAATCTACAATCTAAATGCCTTTTACGTCAATATATATATACGATTGTCTACATAGTTACAAAAAGTACCATCTAAATAGAAGGATGGGTTGACTCCATGGGACACCTGATCACCGTGCACATGTGTGCTGCTTAATACACGCTCAAGCATACAGATCAACTCACTCAGGTTGGACTTCCATTATATTCTCATATAATGCATAATTATACTTACATACTGTTAGTTTTTTAGCAAACGGAGAGAGACAGACAGATGTTTACTATTAGATTAAAACAAAATCTTAAACTTACAACACTACTTCATTTGGATTACAATGACTTGTTAGAACCGGGAAGGGCTGGCTAGTGAGGGAGCGAAAATTATAAGGGTCTGTTGTTCATAATATTATTGAACTCAACATCATTTAAATATGCAAACTGCACTAATTATTAAATGTAATGAGTTTCTCGATAGGCATGTGTATACATGTACCATGTGCGACAGAAGCATCTTAAATCAACTTGAGAGTAGCCTCGCTCTATTCTTACACACACACATGCAAGTCTTGACGTGGGAGAAGGCAAGTAGGCTATGCTGATCTAACCTACTACAAACCTGCATCACGGAACACCGAGTGAAGGAATGCATACTCCTCGTGATGTGACAAAAACTGTCCGACTGTATAATAACAGTGGTCGTGTAGTTTTTCGCATCTGCCACCGCGTTACTTTTGGCGGACTGATACTCAATAATCGCATGAGAGATATTGATTCTCTGTTTACTATCACCGTTGGTTCGAAGCGTGATTTTAGTTGTCTCTCCTCCCCTTATTCCAATTTGGCCAGCAAATTAGTAATTGTTTCACCAAAGTCAACTTTGTATTTTAATAAACTTGGTTCCACATTTGCAGTTTTTTTAAAACGTTCTTTACCACTCATGTACCTTAGAAAGTTTCTCCACAGGGCAGAAAGGGTATCTGGAGAGTCCCAGATATGTTCCACCTCACTATATTTTCTCCAAGGATACATTACTCAGCATAATCTACAATTTCAGTAGGCTCAGAGCGGCTAAGTTAAACGACACAAAAGTTTTACAAATAAAATAAAACTTTACTTACCCGTTATAAATGAAATAGAAACAGTTAAAAAACTGATCTTTGCTCTATCAAGCAAAGTTCTTTGATGAAGTTATCACCAGACAACTATAACAGTAGATAACTTCCCTATTTTACCGAATGTTCCTACCGTTTTCACTGTTATCTCTTGTGTTTGCATCCTTGAGGATGTGTGGTAGAGCTTAAGTACGTAGATCTTCTGTCTGTCATCAGCTGACTTCCATGACAGTGCTTTTATCTTCCTGACCATTCACAAATTTCTGAAGTACAGTTCGGGTTTCGTTCAGCCATGAGCTTGCGCACTTACTCCTGTGACTATACTGTTCCTCCATTCAGCATTTTACCCTCCTTGTGTGGTACAACGACAAGGCTTCAGTTCTCAATTCACGGTCAGCATTCCATACAACCAGAAAATATCATTAGACAACATTTTCTAGTTTTCAAACTGCAAAACTCCTCTTTGCTCAAACTTTGTTTTGGGTGTTTTTAACTTTGGTCAGGAAGATCCTTCAAAATTGTGGAATCAAGATCAACATGACCTCGCTCTTCAAGACTAGCAAAGAGACTAACTTGTTTTTCGGCTACTAGTAAGCGTGAGTATCAATGGTCCGATACGAGTCGAGGATAGGGAGGGGAAGGCTTGTCTCTGATGGTTGACCAAACATGTTTCTTGGTCATAACCTCTTGGTATGTGCTATGACGGCACGACTTTTCCGGGCGCCATCTTGTTTCTAGAATATTCCATAGTAATATAAACAATTGGATGTTATACTTTTATGTGAATCTGAGTGTTTTAATTTTCACCGTTTGTTCTTGTTACTGCCCAGATACTTTCTAGAACAAGCATAATTCTCAAAAAGGGGTAGCCAAATGAGGTTATATGTGCGTTGAATACTGCAACACTTTACACTCTTCCTTGGATGCAGCCAAGATAACTATAACCGTCTGCATAACTATATGACTTATCTACTTCTGGCCCCTTTATTAAAATTAATGAAAATTATAAGGATTTAATATCATTCGCCTTTTTAATGCCTAGATCATTTTTCTAATAAAATGTCTTTACCCACATTTAAATGGTAATTTAGGAATAATTCAAACAGTTTGGGTATCTTAATTAAATCTTTATTTATTTGTTTACAACAAATAAGTTCAAAGTTATTACAGGGTAAGAACCCTGTGGCACCGAAACTGCTGGAACAAATCCAGAGGTATTTATTCATGACATGCACAGGAAAGAAAAGGATGGAATTAGAGAATGGAATATCGAATAAAAATTCAGGTTATGAACATAAGACCACACAGTACTTGGCTTTCAAAAGTTTCATTTCATTGACTTAACTGAGGAAGCTCATTAACTGTCTGTCATTGTAGAACATGGAAATCTGTATATATAGATAAAAAAAATATGTGAATAAACATTTAGTTTCTTTCATCATTCACTTTAATTGTGGTAAGATTGTTTGGACTGGCTTATTAGGCTAGTTAGGATTGTTAAGGTATGGCTAATTTTGGTAAAGCTAAGTTAGGTTAGGTGAAGTTAGGTTATGTTAGGTACGTTTAGGTTAAGTTACGTTACGGTACGTTATAATATCTTTAAAGCCATATTAGACACAAGTAACTCCTTAATTCGCCTCGCAATTACAAGTTTAGTACAAAATTGCTTAGCTTTATAATTCAAACCCATGTAATGTAATACACTAGAAATATTGATCTGCTTGTATATCAAGTACCAACAGTCTCTGACTTCATATCTCTGTAATATGTACCGTTTTAAGTTCAGTAGAGGTTGAGAAGACATAATTAAAGTCACTAAGAATTTTGTATTTAGCTGAGGACTAGTGAATCAAAGAGACAAATTATAACACTGGTAACAGATCAATCGTTTCTACGACAGGCAATAGTTCTGATAACTAAAAAATATTATTTTATCATTATTACTTCATCGAATTCTGTTTCTAAATACATTATAGTTTACTCTATACTAGTTATTTATTTTTCAATCTTAATATAATATTGACATCCTCAGAACACTGCAGCTGATCAACGGACTGAGCAAGATCTTCGCAAAGAAAAGGAGTCTTTTCTGGCCAAAAGAATCGCTGAAGGTGACCCTGACCGTGAATTCAGAGAGAGTATCCAGGAGAGCAGCGTCCGGGAGAGAAGAGGAGGTCCTGGCAATGATGTGGAAAAGTTGGGAAAGATAAAAAATACCATCGGGAGTAAAAGGGACAATGTCCATGTAAGAAATGGAATAAAGCACCGAGTTAAAGAAGATGGGAAGAAACGCATTTCCAACGAGGACTCCAAACGACGCTTCGGTACAAATAAGTTTAAACCTTCCCAAGTCAAGAATATAAACAAGTATAGCCGAATCAAGACTGGTGATAAGCGTAGCCTTATCAAGAACAGAAAGAAAAAGCTTTCATCGAAGAGGGCTGAAAGAGGTGAGGCCATTAAGAATAAGAAAAGTCGTCCCGAGCAGAAGGGGAAAAAAATTCGTGATGGACTACGCAAAACTGGCGCAAGACCTCATGACGATGACCGAGAGAAACGTCACCGAAACGAGAAGACGGAAACTGATCGCGACATCAAGACACAGTCGGCTAAAGGGAGGAAGACACAGTCGGCTAAAGGGAGGAAGACACAGTCGGTTAAAGGGAGGAAGACACAGTCGGCTAAAGGGAGGAAGACACAGTCGGCTAAAGGGAAGAAGACACAGTCGGCTAAAGGTAGTAAGACACAGTCGGCTAAAGGGAGGAAGACACAGTCGGCTAAAGGGAGGAAGACACAGTCGGCTAAAGGGAGGAAGACACAGTCGGCTAAAGGGAGGAAGACACAGTCGGCTAAAGGGAGGAAGACACAGTCGGCTAAAGGGAGGAAGACACAGTCGGTTAAAGGGAGGAAGACACAGTCGGCTAAAGGGAGGAAGACGCAGTCGGCTAACGGGAGGAAGACACAGTCGGCTAAAGGGAGGAAGACACAGTCGGCTAAAGGGAGGAAGACACAGTCGGCTAAAGGTAGGAAGACACAGTCGGCTAAAGGGAGGAAGACACAGTCGGCTAAAGGTAGGAAGACACAGTCGGCTAAAGGGAGGAAGACACAGTCGGCTAAAGGGAGGAAGACACAGTTGGTTAAAGGGAGGAAGACACAGTCGGCTAAAGGGAGGAAGACACAGTCGGCTAAAGGGAGGAAGACACAGTCGGCTAAAGGGAGGAAGACACAGTCGGCTAAAGGTAGGAAGACACAGTCGGCTAAAGGGAGGAAGACGCAGTCTGATAAAGGGAGGAAGAAGCAGTCGACTAAAAAGAGGAAGTTGGAAGAAAGGAATAAAAAACTCAACAAAGTGGCAAGGAAGAACAAAGCCAAAAGCCAAAGTGACGGGAAGATGGGCGAAGAAATTAGTGCACAGAAAACTAGGAGCAAAAAACTATTAAAATCAACAAAAAATAATGACATTCGGAAAGACAGAAACAAAAAACATAAAAGTGGCAAAATAGGCAAAAATCAGAAGAAGAATAAACAAAACGAGGACGAAAAAGAACGTAAGGCCGACAAAGCAACACAGAAAAAGAAGCCTGCACATCACGGAGGAAGCGGGGAACACTATCCCCGCCCCCCACAAGGAGGAAAAAAGTGCAAGACTACTAAAAAGTGCACAAAAATCGGCGGGAAGTGCACCTTGAAGAACAAGTGTAAGACCAGAGGTGTGGACGGCAAGTGCCAGGGAGCATCGTGCTACTGTTGTCTCTCGGGTAAGTTTCTCTTGTATTTCCATCATCAGGAGTATACCGTAGTGAGTGCATGTCTACAGAAGAGGACATACACTCGCTATGCTATACTCTTGATGCTGTAAATATATGATATGTGGCTGTCGCTTCCTCTGGTGGCGTGTGTAAGTGGTGCACACTGGAGGAATATGTAAGTGACTCTCTCTGGTGGTGTAAGTGGCTCACTCAAGTAGTGTAAGTGGCTCACTCAAGTAGTGTAAGTGGCTCCCTCCGGTGGTGCAAGTAGTGCCCTCAGGTAGTGTAAGTAGCTCCGTCTGGTAGTTTGTCTAAGTCGTGCTCTTTGGTAGTTTGTGTAGGTAGGCTGAAATACTCAGCCCATCCTTGCATACAAAGATCTAAGCTCGTTAATCCACCCGCCAAGCTCCCTGTTAATGAATGAAAAGAGGTTTACACACGACTCACAACTGATGACACAACCCGTCCTCGACTCAAGTCCATTACATCCAGCGGTCGACCCCACAGACGCATTCATAAATTTTAACATGCTGTTCATTCAAAACGGGAATTTTCTCAAGTATAAATTAATATTATAATATATTAGCATATTGTGTATATATAGGCATAGGTTAGGTTAGGTTAGGTGTTTAGGTTCTGTTGGCGATTATTTGTATTTGTAGTACGTGGGTGAAGCATTTATAGCGTTGTGATTCGAACAAAATTCGTCAGTGAAGCACTTGTTCCGGATATGTTCGAACGTCAGCAGTTGTGAGTCGTGTGTAAACCGCTTTCATTCATAAACGGGGGGTTTGGCGGGTGCATGGAATCACTTTTGGATCTTTGTTTGGAGGACGGGCTGCACAACTGCTGACGTTCGAACATATCCGGAACAAGTGCTTCACTGACGAATTTTGTTCGAATCACAATGCTATAAATGTTTCACCCACGTACTACAGATACAAATAATCGCCAACAGAACCTAAACACCTAACCTAACCTAACCTAACCTATGCCTATATATACACAATATGCTAATATATTATAATATAAATTTATACTTGAGAAAATTCCCGTTTTGAATGAACAGCATGTTAAAATTTATGAATGCATCTGTGAGGGCGACTGCTGGATGTAATGGACTTGAGTCGAGGACGCGTTGAATTCAATGCAATGTCTCATATCTCAAATTTTTCTTACCATGTTTACATTTAGAATTGTGTAATGAGCAGCCCGTCCTCCAAACAAAGATCCAAAAGTGATTCCATGCACCCGCCAAACCCCCTGTTTATGAATGAAAAGCGGTTTACACATGACTCACAACTGCTGACTTTCGAACATATCGGGAACATGTGCTTCACTTACGAATTTTGTTCGAATCACAACGCTATAAATGCTTCACCCACGTACTACAAATACAACAGCCCGTCCTCCAAACAAAGATCCAAAAGTGATTCCATGCACCCGCCAAACCCCCTGTTTATGAATGTTAAACGGTTTACACACGACTCACAACTCATTTCGTTCGAACACTTCCGGAACAAATGCTTCACTGACAAAATTTTGTTCGAACCACAACGCTATAAATGCTTCACCCACGTACTACAAATACAAATAATCGCCAACAGAACCCAACCACCTAACCTAGCCAACCCTATGCCTATATATACACAAAATGCTAATATATTATAATATTAATTTATACTTTAGAAAATTCCCGTTTTGAATGAACAGTATGTTAAAATTTATGAATGCGTCTGTGGGGTTGACTGCTGAATGTAATGGACTTGAGTCGAGGACGGGTTGGTAATGAGTAAGCTTCAAGCATTTTTCTTCTAACCCATTCCACTTTTTTTGGGGGGTGAACAAAGAAATCATATAAATAAAATAAAAAAAGAAAGGGCACCAGAACGCCATATCAGACCATAACCACTCAACATATAAAACATTAAGAACAGAGGATCAAAATAAATACAAACACAAGAACTACACAAAGTAATAAATCACAACAGAAACATAAACACCAAGATTCTGGGACGAGCTCAGTAAGACTCATATTGATCCAGACACAAATGTCGAGGATATTTCTCACAATACGCATTCTACACAGTCACTCCTCCTTAGTCGGGGGGGGGGGGTGTTTCATACACGAGCAACGGGGACAATGCATAAAATCCGGAACAGCCCACACGGCGGCCCCCTAGCCACGGACGACGGCTGGACGGGAACCCCCCTGCTTGTAGACCTGCGGTACAAAGTCCTTCCGGATTGCGTCTTTTTCAGTACAAGAACTAAATCACAACTAGCACCAGCGCTCACAGCAGGGGCAACAACAACCTCCCATTCCGGTGAACTCGGACACCAGGGCAAAGAGGGTGGCACATGGGCAGGCACGGAGGCTCCCATGCCATCTTTCCTCTCCATAACAGGGACACCTGCCACCACCATTTACGGACGACAAACAGGCTCTGCAGGAGCCCCAAGCTCACTACCCCCTAACCTCGACCTTAGAGGATATTGCATTCTCATTGTTCTCCACGTCCATCCAGGCAGCACCACCTGGTGGAGAGAGAGTGCGAGCCTGCCTCGTTCGCTTGGGAACCAGACGCAAATCATCGGAACTATCGACCTAACCCACAGGCACCTCACCAAAACTACGGTGAGACCGGGCATGGGCACGCACCTCATGGTCACGGAACACCGCAGCTGCTTCGACAACCGGAGGCACCAGACCACTCATGACCACAGGCTTCATGTGTAAACCTCTACAGGAACACGTACCCCACACAACCCCCCAGCACCATGCTGCGCCTCGTCACAAACCACCGCGAAAGACACAGCCCCCGGGACCACTGGCACATATGGAGCCAGAGGAGGGGAGGCAAGGAAGGGACCACACGCACCACCTTTTCGACGCCCCCACCGCCAACCCGGAGGGCAGCAAGCACCAGCCTACCACCCAACACACGGCAACATCATCCAAAAGCGCTGGCACATCATCCACATCAGCACACACGGAGACCTCCGGGACCTCCAGAGGGGGGAAATTCTCCTCCTGGAAGAGGTTAACATGTCCCATACTGTCAGCACGGCATCCAGCAGCCTGGTGCCCCGCCAAACCAAAACCGGAAGCACGTACAGAGGATGAGATCAGAGTCTTAAGGCACATGGTCAAAGTCTGGCTCCCATACGGAACACACCACAATCTGCCAGAGGAGATTACGTTCATTTGGACGTGCAACACACGCCCAAACCGTCAGAAGTATCGTCGCAACAGGCCCTCCGGAAACTCGAACAACGCTCCGTAAATGACGACATAGGTGGACGAGCCGCTACGATCCGAGATGGAGACGAATCCCACATCCCCAGGTAACCGGAAGGAGCGTCCGTCATAGCAGGCGACGACATTCCGGAAGATGCCTGAAGAAGCGAGCTTTGTCACTGCCCGATGACTAGAGATAAGCTGCACACCACAAAACATCTGCCACATCAATTTGCAGGACGACAGCTAATACCACCTCCACCGCCGGGGTAACCCGCCTTTCCAGTGAACTCCATGCCAATCGCCAAAGCTCGCTGAACAGGAGGCAAGGGCAGCCCCATCCTTCCGGCCGTGGGTACGGCCGAAAGGCCCTGCAGCAGTCACCACCAACGACCGGTCATAACCATGGGCTGGGTAAAACTAGAGCTCACAGCAGCGGCGACCTCCCCCTCCGACGGTCGGACGCGGAATCACCCATTTCACTTATTTGACAGCACTAACAATGAAGTTCTATTTTCAACATCTCTGTGACTAATTTGTGTCTCTATTTCCATCCATGCTCCCTCTTTCTGCCTATTCTACCTTTGAAAATGCTGCTTTTTCTACTTTGTCAATTTCTCTAATAATCATATATGTCATTTATCAGTGTCAATGCTGATGTTCTTATCTTTATACAATGTTTCATTGTCTAATCAGTTCCACTTAGCCTTATAGTCTTCTCCAGTCTACTGAGGTTCCAACGCGGAAACAAGCCTTCTTGCGTATTTTTGACTTTCGTTATTTTCTTGTGATTTTTTCTGGTGATGATTCCATGCCGGGGCATAATATTCAAGAATGTGTGTGTGTAAATCTGAGACATTTATGTTTAATATATCTTCCGTAAACAGCATGTGCACTGAAACCCAAAAAGAAGTGTCAGAAATACAAGGGCGTGTGCAAGAAGAAGTGCGGGTCGACAGAGCGCCAGATAGCCAAGGGCTGCTCCAACAAGAAGTGTGTCTGCTGTGCCAAGGCTTGCAAGCCCACGGACCAGTGTAAGATGAATGGAGGCTACTGTGTGGACAAGAAGAAGTCATGCAAAGGATGGGTCAACAAGGATGGCTGCAAGGGAACCAAATGTCTCTGTTGTTATCCACGTAAGTCTCTGCCTATTGATCTACCCAGCTGCATCCAGGTATCTTTCCCATCTTGGAAACTTCTCCAAGCCTTCACTTTCTCTGTTGTTTGCATTGTTTTAGATTCAGCTACTCGAAACAAAAGCTCAAAAGTAGCACGGGCTATGGTGATCCTGTACTAGACTTACCTGGCACAGGAGTGGGGCTGTAACTTTTCCACTTTCTCATATCTTTTTACCTATATCAAACTTTCAAACCAAATTCATATCCGACCGTATTCAAACATCCACTTCGCATTTCCTCTCATCACTCCTTTCTTCTTTTACTCTCCCACTCTTACTCTGAAATTTCGTTTTATATATATATATATATATATATATATATATATATATATATATATATATATATATATATATATATATATATATATATATATATATATATATATATATATTTCAACAAAGAGCAAAACAAATTATTAAATTATTACATAGCGACATGGGGCCTGTATCCCCGACCAGTACAACAACATTTCCATCATTTCCTTCTTCAACTTTGCCGAGATAACACGTACAGTTAACTAACTGGTTAGCTCTTCTCTCTCTCTCTCTCTCTCTCTCTCTCTCTCTCTCTCTCTCTCTCTCTCTCTCTCTCTCTCTCTCTCTCTCTCTCTCTCTCTCTCTCTCTCTCTCTCTCTCTCTCTCTCTCTCTCTCTCTCTCTCTCTCTCTCTCTCTCTCTCTCTCTCTCTCTCTCTCTCTCTCTCTCTCTCTCTCTCTCTCTCTCTCTCTCTCTCTCTCTCTCTCTCTCTCTCTCTCTCTCTCTCTCTCACATTTTGTTTTTAACTAAGACTAGGGTTCAATACGGTTGTCAATTGATGGGAAGCCTTAGGACGACGGGCTGGATAATGAGTTATTTTTAACACTTAAGTGGTATAATTTTTTAATAACATTTAATAACAAATATGTTATTTGTTTTTAACTAAGACTAGGGTTCATTACGGTTGTCAATTGATGGGAAGCCTTAGGACGACGGGCTGGATAATGAGTTATTTTTAACACTTAAGTGGTATAATTTTTTAATAACATTTAATAACAAATATCTATAGATTCGACTGCTTCCAAATTATAGAAAATTCATAATATTTATGTATTTTATTTTAAATATATTTATTTCAAGATTTGTAACTATGTCCTAAAATACAGTTTACATTTGTAATTTCTTTACACATAGTAAATAACTTTTAATATTTCTTTGCAATTACAGCGTTGCCGCCCCAGCCTACAGGAACAAGCACATATACGACAACTTCTGTTCTTACACCGTCGACGCCTAGTTCAAGCATTAGTACGCTGAACATGACCACTTCATCGAACACATCTACTTCTACCTCGAGCTCAACATCTACTACTTCCTCGAATACGACATCAACATCTTCCAGCACGATACCTAGCATATCAGGCACGACATCTACATCTACGTTGAGCTCAACATCAACGACTACGACAATAACGACATCGTCTACTACATCTGGTACGACATCGTCTACTACGTCTGGCACGTCATCTTCTACTACGTCAGGCACGACGTCGTCTACAACGTCTGGCACGACATCGTCTACTACGTCCGTCACGACTTCGTCTACTACGTCTGGCACGACATCATCTACTACGTCTGGCACGACATCAACTACTACGTCTGGCACGACATCATCTACTACGTCTGGCACGACATCATCTACTACGTCTGGCACGACATCGTCAACTACGTCTAGCACGACATCAACAACCACATCAACAACGACGTCGAGTACGACATCTACTACTACATCCAGTACGACATCTACTACTACATCCAGTACGACATCTACTACTACATCCAGTACGACATCTACTACTACATCCAGTACGACATCTACTACTACATCCAGTACGACATCTACTACTACATCCAGTACGACATCTACTACTACATCCAGTACGACATCTACTACTACATCCAGTACGACATCTACTACTACATCCAGTACGACATCTACTACTACATCCAGTACGACGTCTACTACTACATCCAGTACGACATCTACTACTACATCCAGTACGACATCTACTACTACATCCAGTACGACATCTACTACTACATCCAGTACGACAACTACAACGACATCGACCACATCAACTACCACATCGACCACGTCATCTACTAGCACGTCGACCACTACATCAACATCAACATCGACTACATCTACCACTACGCTGAGTACGACATCAACTTCGGCAACGAGCACCACCGCGACCAACCTACTAGCCGTGCTCACAAATCTACTCTCACTCTTGCAGACCTCCAATATCGCAATTGCTACCATTCAAACCCTTCTGAATCAACTAATAAACCTTTTAGTCTCTCTCGGCCTCGGAAGGAGGAGGAGGAGAAGGAAGCGCAGTGCGGAGACCGCCATCATTGATAACATTAGGACGACCTTTAGCAACGGTGCCACTGCACTCATGCGCGAAGACGAACTCGCTCTGTTAAAGATGATAGCGGAAGTCATGGATTCCATGACACAAGTGGAAGCCATTGATGCTTCCATAAAACGTGGGTCCTTGGCATACTCTCCAGAGCTCGTTAATTCTATAAATAATACCATTTCCTCCGGCCATGATACTCTAAGAAATCTGACAGCTCAAAGTCAAAACGTAAGAGGAAAAATAAGGAGTGTGTACGACCAAATTGGTAAAAACGGGGGGACGACAAGTGACATCCCGGAAGTAGTGACGTACAGCTTGATGCCGCTTTCGACGTCAATTGCACAGCTGCAACAACCAAGCTTTCACAGCTGCCACAACCAAGCTTTCACAGCTGCAACAACCAAGCTTTCACAGCTGCCACAACCACCAGCTTTCACAGCTGCAACAACCAAGCTTTCACAGCTGCCACAACCAAGCTTTCATAGCTGTCACAACCAAGCTTTCACAGCTGAAACAACCAAGCTTTCACAGCTGCCACAACCAAGCTTTCACAGCTGCAACAACCAAGCTTTCACAGCTGCAACAACCAAGCTTTCACAGCTGCAACAACCAAGCTTTCACAGCTGCCAACAACCAAGCTTTCACAGCTGCCACAACCAAGCTTTCACAGCTGCAACAACCAAGCTTTCACAGCTGCAACAACCAAGCTTTCACAGCTGCAACAACCAAGCTTTCACAGCTGCAACAACCAAGCTTTCACAGCTGCACTGACAACCAAGCTTTCACAGCTGCAACAACCAAGCTTTCACAGCTGCCTCACCACCACTTTCACAGCTGAAACAACCACCACACAGCTTTCACAGCTGCCTCAACCAAGCTTTCACAGCTGCAACAACCAAGCTTTCACAGCTGCAACAACCAACCACTTTCACAGCTGCCACAACCAAGCTTTCACAGCTGCAACAACCAAGCTTTCACAGCTGCAACAACCACGGACACAGCTGCAACAACCACCACTGACACAGCTGCAACAACCACTACTGACACAGCTGCAACAACCACCACTGACACAGCTGCAACAACCACCACTGACACAGCTGCAACAACCACCACTGACACAGCTGCAACAACCACCACTGACACAGCTGCAACAACCAAGCTTTCACAGCTGCAACAACCAAGCTTTCACAGCTGCAACAACCAAGCTTTCACAGCTGCAACAACCAAGCTTTCACAGCTGCAACCACCAAGCTTTCACAGCTGAAACAACCAAGCTTTCACAGCTGCAACAACCACCACTGACACAGCTGCCACAACCACCACTGACACAGCTGCAACAACCACCACTGGCACAGCTGCAACGACTGTGACAGGTTAAACAGCAAAGGCCGTGCCAAACGTCTCAACTCATCACAGTAAACCGTGCTTAGATGGTCACCTTAACAGTTGTTCATAGCCTATGGTTCTAAACTACAAATGAAATAGCGAATTGCTTCACAGGTAAAAATTAAGTCTTTAGTAACGCATACAACATGAAACGCAATGAGCTGGCTAATAGAAATACAATCGACCAGTGAACAGTATGTTAAAAAACAATGACATGCAACAGTCAAGAATGAAACAAGAGATCTGAACTAGACCAGGCTCGAAAATCTTGTTGGCTTCCCTAATAGTACGAATTGATTAAGTAAAATTATACATTTTAACAAATTTACATCAGATTTCAATAATTACAAACATTTTATATATACTTTTTTCTTACAAGAGATTGTTCCGAATCACAAGTTATTAGAACAAGTTATCCACAGAAACTTACAGACGAGACGTTATGCACATTTATTCACATACGAGACGTTATCCACAGAAATTCACAGACCAGACGTTATCCACAGAAACTCCCAAACCAGACGTTACCCACAGAAACTCCCAGACCAGACGTTATCCACAGAAACTCACAGATATGGCGTTATCCACAGAAACTCACGGACCAGACGTTATCCACAGAAACTCACAGACCAGACGTTATCAACAGAAACTCCCAGACCAGACGTTATCCACAGAAACTTACAGACCAGACGTTATCCTCAGAAACTCCCAGACCAGACGTTATCCACAGAAACTCACAGACCAGACGTTATCCACAGAAACTCCCAGACCAGACGTTATTCTCAGAAACTCACAGACGAGACTTTGTCCAGTAGGAGGAAACCACTTCCACAGACAGTCACAGTAACGCCCCGTGTTGCTGCGCCAGAATGTGAGAGTTTACTTAATTTTGGGACGTGGATTCGAATGTTTGCCTGGCTATTGTTGCCTCCTGCAACACCCTGCAATTGCTTGCAACCGCACCTACACCAGTGCGGGCCACACTGCAAGAGGTCACTTTGGAGAAAATCACAACCACAGAACAAACAAACTAATACACCCCCTAGGCGTGAGCAAACACCAAGGTCTAGGTATTCCACGTGGAGATGAAGGCCAGAACGGTCTTGAGAAATCATCTTAAGGTAACCTCCCCCGAGTTGACAGTGTAACACTTCACAATCTCCATGAAACCAAACACAGAGAAAGATCGTTGTGAGATATACTCACATCGATCCGAGATTGGGTGATTACTGATCACCCAAAATTAATATGTGCATATAAACAGCACTTAATTAACCCGGGTTTTGTACTTACATTCAATTACATCATTGGTACTCCCTCGACGATGATCTAGGCGTCTCTAGACGTCACGGTAAGACTGCAGATTTCTTAGCGAGGGAGCCCAACACTTACATCCAAATGTTGAATCAAGCTCACACCTCCAGCTTTCAGATGAATTAATAAATCAAGGAGTAATCTGGCTATACCACGCGAGTTGGCCAACCATCTTGACACGATCATCAATGACTAGCGTAAATTATAACCCACTCAACACAGTCTCTTTGAATTCTTGTACATCGACCCACTTTGTGAGAAAAGAAGCTTTACACTACTTCCACTTCTCATTTCCCGTGTGGCTTTAGAACGCACGAACACGCACGCTGTTTTCAGGATGAGGTACCTCCTCACCTCTCCACCCCGACACCACAAACCTCCACGAGTTCTTCTACCTTTAAAATCTTTCACAATTCTTGTGACCTTCCAAAGTTGATTGTTAATAATGATGCTAAGACACCCATGTAACACTGAATATTACGAAGATGACTTAAGATTCGATACGAGAGTACACTGCTCTCCCTTGCCGGTTACTTAAGATTTCACCGATATCTCTGCTTTCTATGAAATCACACGTCTCTCTCTCTCTTTCACAGGTATTTCACACTGCTATAATTATCCATACAAATACCCGTGGTCTAGACGCTTCCTTGAACTGTTGCTGGTGTCAGAAATTCGTGTCTTCCTTAAAGATGTAGATAAATCCTTTGACACCTGTATCACCCAGTGATTCAGATTTGAAATAGTACTGGTGTTTATGTAAACTGTTCTCTGAGGACTTAGGACAAAGAGGCCTTGCTTCAGAGCTCGTTAGGCAATCATCCTCCTGGAGAGTCCTCGGGGGAATGAAACCCGGGGGTACTTCACGAACCCTCCAAGACTCCGTGACCTCATCACCCCGTCAGCTAATCACATGCATAGGTCTTTCCCGCGTTTTCCGTAAATTCATCTGATTGGCAGCGGAACCAGGGTGCCCAGTGACGTCATGTTTGCTTCAACAGCGGTACCCTTGACAAAGGGTACTGTAGCCCTGCATTCTCCATTGCAACGGATCTAGACGACCCACGTCAAAACTGTTGACCTCAGTGGACATCTTATATGAAGACGAATCCGTAGACACTCAACTTGACACACGCCTTGCAAACACTTATGCAAGCACAAATTTGTGCATTGAGATATCTATCACATTTAGAATCTCATAGATGACGTACGTTATCTACAAAAACTCCTAAATGAGACGTTGTCAACAGAAACTCAGAGGAGACGTTATCCACAAAAATTTACTCATGAGATGTTATCTAAAGAAACTCATACACGACACGATGTCCACAGAAACTGACAGACGAGACGTTATCCACAGAACCTTCCGCTTAGTATAAAAGAGCTGAATATAATCTTCAGCTTAGTATTTATCATCTTAGTAGTCAACAATCTTTGCTCTCTTTAAAAAACTGCGAAAATGCATTAACTATAAATTTTCTTTATGCGTTTCTTATTTAATATATTGTTGCTAGTGTTTCCTTCCTACCAAGTTGCTTTTAATCTTATATATCTGTATCGCTTTAATTTCCTTATATTTACAATGTTGTATGTTCACGGATGTCATTATTTCAGCTTTAGGTCGATATTCTCGAGTGATACACGAATCAATGATTCTAATCATTTCTGGACAAATAAAGTATCAAGTACAGATTGGATTTTTTCCATGTCCTCCGATAACTTTACTAGTGAGTGTGTGTGTGTGTGTGTGTGTGTATGCGCTGAGATTAGTGGACTCATCTGTCGTTATCTATTTTGTCAGACTTTTAATGGAAGTTACCTTCTTTTTCACTACTTGCTCACCTAATTTATTCCATTTTATTACGCCTTTAAGACTACAGCATTTCCTTGCATCCCTATGACCCTTTCGTGTCTCTAGCATCAACTCGTCCATTCTAGGCTATAAAAATCAAACAAATTCGGCTATTTCCTCTATAGAATCAGGAGAGGACACTGCGCCTTGTGTTTCAAGAACATTGAAGCGAGTGTACATGAAATTAATTTAAACTAACTGGTCCCAACACTTGGAAACTACAGGATTTGTTATAAAGATCTAGATAGGTTCGGGGGACAACAAATGATGCTGACCCTGCATTTCTAACCATCCGTCCTTTAATGAATAGACTCCCGACCAAATTATTCTCCGCATGTGTGTGTATGTGTATTCACCTAGTTGTTTTCACCTAGTTGTGCTTGCGGGGGTTGAGCTCTGCTCTTTCGGCCCGTCTCCCAACTGTCAATCAATCAACTATTACTAACTACTACCTCCCCCCCCCACACACACACACCCAGGAAGCAGCCCATAACAGTTGTCTAACTCCCAGGTACCTATTTACTGCTAGGTAACAGGAGCATCAGGGTTATCTTGAGATGAGATGATTTCGGGGTTTTTTAGTGTCCCCGCGGCCCGGTCCTCGACCAGGCCTCCATCCCCAGGAAGCAGCTCGTGACAGCTGACTAACACCCAGGTACCTACTTTACTGCTAGGTAACAGGAGCATAGGGTGAAAGAAACTCTGCCCATTGTTTCTCGCCGGCGCCTGGGATCGAACCCAGGACCACAGGATCACAAGTCCAGCGTGCTGTCCGCTCGGCCGACCGGCTCCCTAAGGGTGGAGAAAATCATAGGCACCAATTACAGCTAAGCATCTCCGAGGCCCGGAGCGTCGGCCAATCACGTTCTACCGAGACGACGCTCTTCCCCTGGCATGAAGGGGCTCAAAGATGGGGGTCACCCTATAACTGTTAACCCCCCAACCTCCTTCTCTCCTCTTGAACTCGTAAAAAATTCACCTGAAATCAACTCCCTGATATAACTTTCTCTACAGACTCGGTACAGCAACCACAATAGCTTTAATGACTAGCACTCATCAAGGGCTATCCGTAGACATCCCGCAAGACAGTTTAAGAGTTGTATTTCTTAACCTTGTGCTATGGTGCACACGCTCCTGTGCACACCTACTGTGCACAAATTCCAGTGCAGAAGGGAGCTGAAAAAATTCATCTGGCAATCCTCTTAATGTGTTAAGCGCATCTCTGTTAATCTCATACAACTTAATACTCTCAAACAGTATATGGAGATCATAACGACAGGTGTCTCTAAATTCATAATTATTATTATTCCAATCTAAGGCAATCTAGAAAGCTCGCATCCACTTACATATAAACATAACAATGCATAGCCAATTATAGGAATCACGAACATCCGGAACTACAACAGGTACACTTAGGTACCTACAATGAGAGTAGGACACACACACACACATACGAGACGTTACAAGTGGAGTCCCGCAGGGGTCAGTCCTTGGACATATACTGTCTCTGATATATGTAAATGATCTCCCAGAGGGTATAGAATCGTTTCTCTCAATTTTTGCCGATGATGCAAAAATTATGAGGAGGATTGAAACAGAGGATGATAGTAGAAGGCTACAAGATGACCTAGACAGACTGAGTGAATGGTCCAACAAATGGCTGTTGAAGTTCAACCCGAGTAAATGCAAAGTAATGAAACTAGGCAGTGGAAACAGGAGGCCAGACACAGGATACAGAATAGGAGATGAAGTACCTAATGAAACGGACAGAGAGATAGATCTAGGAGTTGATATCACACCAAACCTGTCTCCTGAAGCCCACATAAAAAGAATAACGTCTGCGGCATATGCGAGGCTGGCTAACATCAGAACAGCGTTCAGGAACCTGTGTAAGGAATCATTCAGAATCTTGTACACCACATATGTAAGACCAATCCTGGAGTATGCGGCCCCAGCATGGAGCCCGTACCGTGTCAAGCACAAGACGAAGCTGGAAAAAGTCCAAAGGTATGCCACTAGACTAATCCCAGAACTAAGAGGCATGAGTTACGAGGAAAAGCTGCGGGAAATGCACCTTACGACACTGGAAGACCGAAGAGTAATGGGGAGACATGATCACAACCTACAAAATCCTCAGGGGAATCGACCGGGTAGACAAGGATAAACTATTCAACACCGGTGGGACGCGAACAAGGGGACACAGGTGGAAACTGAGTACCCACATGAGCCACAGGGACGTTAGAAGGAACTTTTTCAGTGTCAGAGTAGTTGACGGATGGAATACATTAGGCAGTGATGTGGTGGAGGCAGACTCCATACACAGTTTTAAATGTAGATATAATAGAGCCCAGTAGGCTCAGGAATCTGTACACCAGTTGATTGATTGTTGAGAGGCGGGACCATTACTCGCAATAATCAGTACCTATTTCAACTGACGTATTCGACTACGACAACACAGGGAAGGACTTATATTCCGTCTTATCTAGTTCTTAGTTGGCCAATATAAAATCTTTTAGGTGTGACGGTTATATGGCATGACAAACCCAAAATAGGCGAGTTTAATAACTCGAGTAAACTGAGCCAAAATTATGCCATATATATAATAATAATAATAATTTGTGTAGTTTGTGCCTATCCACATTGTATTGTCTCGGCAGGCTGGAGTCCAGACAACACCGATAGCGAAGAATTGCCATCTATGTTTAGGCGGCATCACAAACCGATGCCTCCATTACAGCCGGGCCCACTCACGTGTTCAACACTGGTTCCAAGATAATTGTGGAAGCCTTCTAGTCAGACACGGCTATAATTCACTTATATTAACCACATCCGCTAACTGTTTTAATTCAGTTTAGAGAAAATAATAATGTTAACCGTTTAAATAATGTTTAAAAATTGGTTAATAATAATAACCCTCCAAATGCTTGAAGTGGAAATTTTGCAGTAATTTTAGATAATAATCTATACAGTCCGCTTAATAAAATAATTATTAATCAATAATTAAAATAACTACAGTACATTCAATAATAAATAAATTTAATAAAATAATCACTCGTAGATTTTCCACACAGAATGTGTGTGTGTGTGCATTTATTTCTGTGACTGCAGAATCAAGCTGTTAGTTCTTGGACCCCGCCTTTCTAACCAATCTACTTTTCCTCTATTATATCTATAAATATATTTCTATTACATGTGCACACACAAACACACACACACACACACACACACACACACACACACACACACACACACACACACACACACACACACACACACACACACACACACACACACACACACACACACACACACACACACACACACACACACTTTTCCATGAAGGAGCCCATATCAGCTGTCTAACTTCCAGGTACAAATTTACTGCTAGGTGAACAGATGCATCAGGGTGAAAGAAACTCTACCCATTTGTTTTCGCCTCCGCCTGGAATCAAACTCGGGCCCTTAAGACTACGACCCCCAAGCACTGTCCACTCAGCAGCGAGGCCCCAAGAGTGTGTATTACTGTATTTATAGATATACGTGATGTATATTTTAGGTTTTTAATTTTAATTTATATTTTCTCTATAATTTCATTTTTTTTTGTTTTTGTTTTTCATTTAAGTTTAGTTCTTTTAACCTGCTTATCTTTTTTGGGGGGCTAGCGAATAACACCAAGTAGATAACTAAACAGTAATAAAACGAGTCAACTACGTTAATAAAATAAAGTTGATAAACAAGGGTAGAAATCCGTGAACCATGACACACTCGTTATGTATTTACGTTGATTCCCCCAGAGAGCACTGAACTATGCACCTGCAAATCGACTACACAGGTGGGCCCACACAGATGCACCCCTACTTATTTATATAAGGTTTTTGACAATATTTACTCTCAGATTTGTTGCAGCGTTTGGCAGATGTGGTGTGAAGCTGAGGTCTGCTCTGCTGCTGGCATTTGGAGAGACGAGGCTTCGAACACCTATTGCTATCACTCGTCGGTGTAACAGAGCTCTGAGGCCCCGTTGCTGACTCTTGTCGGTGTAGTCCTCAGCAGCAGTATCGGTAGAGGCAGGAGCCGAGTCACTTCTGCAGTTCCAGCTGCACGCCACCAGCATGAAGGCTTTTGTGTTGGCTGGCTGCGTCTTCTGCATTTTTCTTCTGTTGCAGGTATGAATGATATCTTAATCTGTACCAAAAGTGTTGTGTGTTACTGTCACTTAAATGGTTATAGAACTAATACAAAAATGCATAAGTCATAGTTGTTGGATAAAAGTAGTGACATGTGAGAAGGCCCAGTTAGTGAAAAAGGCCCAATTAGCCTTGCTGCAGATTTTTCAAAAAATATGTACTAAGATTCAAATATTTTGTGATGGATTCTTAAGTTAAACTTCAAACACATCTGAATAAGCTAACATTCATATAAATAATAAGAAAGAAGTTGACAATACTAACATCACTGCTGGATTGGTATAAGAAGAGTGCAACATTAACAGGAGTACCGTCTGTATTTCAATTTCCAAGAAATTACAAAACGTAAGGGTCTACAGCGGAGATTTTAAGGTTTAGTAGACTATAATGTCTGGCAAGTAAGTTTCTTAAGCGCAGCCAGTATTTGGTTAGTATATTAGCTATTTCCTGTCTTGTTAAATATATTTAAGTATTTCACAGGCAAATTTTCATCCCTCTTCTGGTTATATGCCATTCTCTTTGCAATTTTAGTTAGTAAATTTATAATAATGACTATTTATTTCATAACTTCCAAGGGTCATTAAGTCTATCCTTTTGTAATAGTTGTAATATAAATGCTTTAATGGGTTATTTCTGCATCAAATGTTTGAATATTTGTATTGGTGCTGCAGTAAATTTGAGTTAAATAAACAGGGAAAATTAAACTAAAAATTATATTTTGGAAAGGTTAAAATCTACTGTATCGTGCAATTTATCACGGAACCTAATAATTTAAAACCATGCATGCAGAGTATGCAGTCTGTACAAATTATTTGTACATTCTTTTCTGGACCAAAGTGTTTAAGACCAAATAATATCAAGAAATATTAGTGAACTAGCAGTACCCGGCCACGCGTTGCTGTGGCTCAGCAACGCACATGTGTTGCTGAGCTACAGCAACCTTCCCTGTCCCCCATTCCTCCCCACCATTCCCCCCTCACTCGTTTCCTCGGCCTCTCAACCATTCCCCACTCCACCATCTCTTCTTCCTTTCCACCATGCCCCACTCCCCTGTCCCTTTGTCCTCTCCTCCATTCTCCATTCCCCCAACCCCTCGTCCCCACCATCCACAACTCCCCCGTCCCCTCGTCCTTTCCCACCATTACCACATCCCTTGTCCCGTCTTCCTCCGCACCATCTCTCACTTCCGTCCCTTCATCATTCCCACTATTCCGCACTCCCTCGTCTGATGCCTTCCCAAATGGTCTGATGTTCCCATCAGAAAATTTGGAACATCAAGTGATCTGATGTTCCCATCACTGAAATATAAGAAGAACAGTTAAAAAATGAAATGAAAATATGAAAAAAATATATAAATAAACTATTCTCACAAAATGAACGATCTGGTAAACAACACAGCTCAATTCCAATGCAATTCACAGAAAATAATTAAATCAAAATGAAAATAAATCAAAATCTATGAAAATTCAATTTGTCAATGCAATCAGAAACATTGAAATGGAATTGTAACATATCTGAAATAGCATGTCTGTTGCTCTTACATGCAACAGATGGCGCTGTTTTTCAAGAAAAAGCATAGTTTTACCTGTCACAGGTGTGGCATCTATACTTATACCTACGAAACGAACGGTATTGAACAACACAGCTCAATTCCAACACAATATCACACAAAATAATTCACTAAAAATAAAATAAATTGAAATCTATGAAAATACAATTTATCAATGCTATCGGAAACATTTCAATGGAATTCTTGATATATTTAGTATAGCGTGCATGTTGCCATTATGTGCAACAGATGGCGCTGTTTTTGAAAAACGCATGTTTTTACCTGTCACAGGGGTAGCATGTATATAGTAGGTATATAAAAAGATGCCCCTATCGAATGCAACGTTGTGTCAAAATTTCAAAGCAATTAGTGAAGAATTTTCGGAGATTACACCGTGTGTTGCCCTTACGTCCAAAAGATGGCGCTGTTTAAAAAAAAAAAACTATTTTTTCCTGTCACAGGTGAGGCATGTATATAGTAGATATATAAAAAGACGCGCCAATTCGAATGCAGCGTTGTGTCAAAATTTCAAAGCAATCGGTAATATATATATATATATATATATATATATATATATATATATATATATATATATATATATATATATATATATATATATATATATATATATATATATGTATATATGCCAAGAAGCTAGCACTATGCATCTGGCGTACATGATACGTTAACCACTTGACTAACCGTGACTGTACATAACATGTTGGTAGCCGAGGCTATATCCCCAATATCTCGACGGCACTTATTGGTAAGCATGGGCATAGTCATTTCATCGAATCACCTCACTTTGTGGGGCCACGTGAGCAACGCAAATGCGAACAAGCTTAAATGGTGCCCAAGCATATGTGCTACGGAAAACTCCACACCCCATAAGTGACTCGAACCCAGACAGTCAGGAGCACTATGCAGCTAGCATTCATGTTCCATAGTACATTCCCATTTATGTTGCTCACGTGGCCCCACAAAGTAAGGTGATTCGATGAAATAACTATGCCCAAGCTTACCACCAAGTGCCGTCGTAATATTGGGCATATAGCCTCGGCTACCAACATCTTTTGTACGGTCACGGTTGGTCAAGTGGTTAAGGTACCATGTTTGCCAGTTGCATAGTGCTCCTGGCTGTCTCTGTTCGAGTCACTTCTGGGGTGTTGAATTTTCAATTATATTTGTGTGTGTGTTTTTAATTGTTTTGTTAATGTAATTAAAATAAAATCTACAAATGTTTCATATGTTGATGATACTTCATACCTTTCTGATACAATTTCTAAATCTTACTGAACATAAAAAATAATTACCTCTGAACGTTAAACTATTTGTTTTATTTTAAAAACAGTCTACTCTGCAGGTCACTGTGGATGGAGAGAGAAATGTATCCAACCGTCAGGAGAAGAGCGTTCAAGAGTTGCAGCCCAAGAAGCACAGACATTCTGAGAAACTGAGAGGACTCAAAGATAAGCCAAGAGATTCTGGAAACGCTGCTCATAGAATCAGCCATAAAAATGATGCTACTGATATTATTCAAGAAAGAGGAGTGCCTGAGGTCAACAACGGACAAAAACGCCATTTTGTCAGGAGTAAGAAAGAAGCGCAACGTAACAAGACTGAGGGAAAATTTCTCAAGAAAAAGAAGAATAGAAATTTGTATACTAAGGACAATGAGATTCATCGCATAGGAAAGAAAGGGAAAAGTTCAAGCATTAATGGAGATGAGAAACCTCGAGGAAAAGGGAAACTAAAACTTTTTGTCAAGAATGTGGGAAAACATCACCCCCCTAAGACTGAGGGAAAGAATGGGGCAAGTAGTACAATCTGGAGTGACGGACGAGGAGCTGACCGCACCAAGAATGGCGGGAGAGGAGCTGACCGCACCAAGAAGGGCGGGCAAGGAGCTGACCGCACCAAGAAGGGAGGGCAAGGAGCTGACCGCACCAAGAAGGGCGGGCAAGGAGCTGACCGCACCAAGAAGGGCGGGCGAGGAGCTGACCGCACCAAGAAGGGCGGGCGAGGAGCTGACCGCACCAAGAATGGCGGGCGAGGAGCTGACCGCACCAAGAATGGAGGACGAGGAGCTGACCGCACCAAGAATGGCGGGCGAGGAGCTGACCGCACCAAGAATGGAGGACGAGGAGCTGACCGCACCAAGAATGGAGGACGAGGAGCTGACCGCACCAAGAATGGCGGGCGAGGAGCTGACCGCACCAAGAATGGCGGGCGAGGAGCTGACCGCTCCAAGAATGGCGGGCGAGGAGTCGACAGTACTGACAGTGGCAAAAGAAGTCGAACCTTCAAAAAAGTCCCTAAGGGACAGAAAGACCCCACTTTAGGTAAGCTTAACAAAAACAGGAAAGACAATCGTGAAGAAGGAAAAATAAACAAATCAAAGAAAACAAAATCCAAAATTTATGGCAAGGCACCATTGAAGAAATCTAAACAAAATAAAAGAATCACAGATAATGATAAAAGTGGCAGACAAACAAACAAAAGCACAAGAGGTAACAAGAAAGAAAAGTTAAGCAAATCTGCCAATAAACTTAAGAATGGTCTCAGGAAACACGAAAATCTGCGAGGAAAAGATTTTGTGAAAAAGGCAAAACAACGCAAGAACAAATTGAAGAAATCCAAAAATATTAAAAAGAGCAAAAAGAAAGTAAAAAAGAATGGTCTCACGAAACACAAAAGTCTCCGAGGAAAAGATTTTGCGAAAAAGGCGAAACAAGACAAGAACAAATTGAAGAAATCCAAAAATATTAAAAAGAGCAAAAAGAAAGTCAAAAAGAATGGTCTTAGGAAACACAAAAATCTGCGAGGAAAAGATTTTGCAGAAAAGGGGAAACAACGCAAGAACAAATTGAAGAAATCCAAAAATATTAAAAAGAGCAAAAAGAAAGTCAAAAGCAGCAACAAGGAACGGCAATACGAGAAAAAACAACCCAAGACGGGTAAAGAAGTTAAACAAGCTGTAGAAAAGATCGGGAGGACTTCGGGTGGCAATGGTTATTATCCTTCCTCTGGTGGTGGCCACGGCGATGACGACGACGACGCCTCTCCCAAGAAAAAGTGCAAAACATCGAAAAAGTGCGCCAAAGTCGGCGGGAAGTGCAACCAGAAACACACCTGCAAGACTAAAGTTGTCAACGGCAAGTGCAAGGGGAAGTCGTGCGAGTGTTGCCTCTCCTGTAAGTGTTTTCACAGATAATTATTTTTGAGGTCTAAGAGAACTCATTCCCGTATATATATATATATATATATATATATATATATATATATATATATATATATATATATATATATATATATATATATATATATATATATATATATATATATATATATATATATATATATATATATAAAAATATCACTGCTTTTTTTCTTTCTTTACCATGTTATATAACTTGGTATGGGGGACAGTTCTACTATTTGTTTTCACTAGAAGTGGTTTGTCTGAGTGTGCATTTCCCGAACTAGAAGATATATTTTTTTTTAAAATACCTACATATTTACCATAAACTTACGGACCACTTACACATAGCAGAGAGAATGACAATGGTTGGGAAGGAGCAAAGATGCAATTGGTTTGAGTTGATGTTTATGGTACGCTAGTTACTGTTGCCTATATTCTCAAAATCATGGCAGGAGAGGCGCCACAGAACTATATTGTAAGGGCGTTTATAAAGTGAGTCACTGAAGGTAGTGACGGAGGGTCAACAGGTGGTAGTGATGGCGACTGGAGTGAAGGAGAGCCATGTTTTGTGTCTGTGTAACAAACTAGGCTGTTGTAAGAATTATTCCAGAAGGTTCCAGAAGTTCGAGTAGGGACCTGACCTCTCAACAACGCCCAGTCCCCTGGGAATTAGCAGGTCTGAGTCACAAATGGCGGGCATCTTTGTTCATAGCTGCGTATAATGAACCATCCTATAGTATTCAGTAATTTAGAGAAAATTAGCCTTTATTCATTTTGCATTAAAATTGTATTGTATAATAGTACTGGATACAATATCAAGAGTATTCTAATTATTGAGTTTAAGTCACCATCAGTGACGTCACGAATCAGATCTAACTTTTAAGGCGGAGTGACCAGCGGTCATAGGTCAGCAGGGGTGACAGGTCTACTATTTCTCAAAGTTTTAATAACCATTTTTGTGATCGGGAACAGCTCTGCCGTTAGATGTTTGTAATTTATTTCAGTAAAATAATTCAACCAGTCTGGATCAATTAAGTACAACAGAGTTTAATTGTTATAACTTAAACCTTGCTAGTAACTTGGAAACTTTGACTAGGCGGAAGGTTACAATGTTCTTGTCTGGGGTAGACCAGACGAGGAAAAGATCAGTGTGAATACGGGAGCAGCTGGGAGAGGTCAAACATCTTACCTCTCCCCAAGACCAGCCAACATCTAGAGCTGGTCGCCCAAGGTATAGTTGCTATGGTTATGTATAGAAATAGTCTCATTTGCCATTCAGGTCAAGTAGGCCACACTCAAGTTTCCGAGGTTATAAACTACTAGTGGGGATCAAGCCCCAAGGTTGATTAATTAGCGTGATCGATCCAGACCTCGATCATTGCTCTGTGTTACTGGTCTGGTGGTGGCAGCAGAGGCGACTCTAGGGTTTTGCTCAACGCCTAGGTCACGTCATACTGGGTGTAGAATCCTAAGTCGGTCAATCGTCTTAGGACCACGTGGCGTGGAGTTGGCGTTGTTAAAAGTTTTGGAGTCCCTTGGTTTAGAAATAAAAGTAAGAATACGGGTAGAGGGAGTAGAAGGTAGAGAAGTAGAGAGAGGAACACCTAACCCGTGTTACATCTGGATAAGGTATTTGTGTTTGGGCAGTCGTGTGTTGTGCTTAGGGAAGTGTGTTGTGTTTGCGCAGCCGTGTGCTATAATTGGGCAACGATGTACTATTTCTGGGAACAATTTGCTGTGTGGTATAACAGGCTTGTCTTTTGTCTGGGTCGCTGGTACACAAACCGTATTACTGAGAGATATATCTGTGTGCGTGCTTGTGTGTGTTCTTTAGAATGTGTGTGTAAGTATTCACCTAGTTGTACTTACGGAGGGGTGAACTTTGGCTCTTTGGTCCCGCTTCTCAACTGTCAATCAACTGGTGTACACATTCATGAGCCTATTGGGCTCTATCAAATCTACATTTGAAACTGTGATGGAGTCTGCTTCCACCACATATCTGCTTAATGCATTCCTTTTGTTAATTACTCTGAGTGTGAGTGTATTCACCTAGTTGTGCTTGTGGGGGTTGAGTTCTGCTCTTTCGGCCCGCCGCTCAACTGTTACTGACTACTAACTATTTTTACACACACACACACACACACACACACACACACACACACACACACACACACACACACACACACACACACACACACACACACACACACACACACACCTAAGGGGCCGTGGCTGAGTGGACAACGCTTGGGACTCGTAATCCTAGGGTCCGGGTTCGATCCCGGCCGCCGGCGGAAACATATGGACAGTTTCTTTCATCCTGATGCCCCTGTTACCTAGCAGTAAATAGGTACCTAGGAGTTAGACAGCTGTTACGGGCTGCTTCCCGTGTGTGTGTACCCACCTATTTGTACTCACCTATTTGTGCTTCCGGGGGTTGAGCTTTGGTTCTTTGGTCCCGACTCTCAACTGTCAATCAACTGGTGTACAGATTCCTGAGTCTACATTTCATATCTACATTTAAAACTGTGTACGAAGTCAGCCTCCACCACATGAGTGCCTAATGAATTCCACCTGTTAACTACTCTGACATTGAAAAAATTCTTTCTGACGTCCCTGTGGCTCATTTCAGTACTCAGTTTCCACCTGTGTCCCCCTTGTTCGCGTACCACTAGTGTTGAATAGTTTATCCTTGTCTACCCTGTCAATTCCCTGAGGATTTTGTAGGTAGTGATCATGTCTTCCCTTACTCTTCTGTCTTCCAGTGTTGTAAGGTGCATTTCCCGCAGCCTTTCATCGTAACTCATGCCTCTTAGTTCTTGGACTAGTCTAGTGGCATACCTCTGAACGTTTTCCAGCTTCGACTAAGTACGGGCTCCATGCTGGCGCCGCATACTCCAGGATTGGTCTTACATATGCTGTGTACAAGGTTCTGAATGATTCTGAAGGCTGTTCTGATGTTAGCCAGCCTCGCATATGCCGCAGACGTAATTCCTTTTATGTGGGCTTCAGGAGACAAGTTTGGTGTGATATCAACTCCTAGTTCTTTCTCTCTGTCCGTTTCATGCAGTACTTCATCTCCTATTCTGTATCCTGTATCTGGCCTCCTGTTTCTACTGCCTAGTTTCATTACTTTGCATTTACTCGGGTTGAACTTTAGCAGTCATTTGTTGGACCAATCATTCTGTTTGTCTAGGTCATCTTGTAGGCTCCTACTGTCGTCCTCTGTTTCAATCCTCCTCATAATTTTTGCATCATCAGCAAACATTGAGAAAAACGAGTCTATTCCCTCCGGGAGATCATTTACATATATTAGAAACAGTATAGGTCCAATGACTGACCCCTGCGGGACTTCAGTTGTGACGTCTCGCCAATCTGAGACCTCACCCCTCACAGTGACTCGTTGTTGTCTGTTGCTTAGGTACTCCCTTACCCAGTGGAGTACCTTCCCTTTCATTCCAGGCTGCATCTCCAGCTTTTTCACTAGCCTCTTGTGTGGTACTGTATCAAAGGCTTTCCTGACAATCCAAAAATATGCAGTCTGCCCACCCCTCTCTTTCTTGCCTGATTTTTGTTGCCTGGTCGTTCAATTCAATTAACCCTGTGAGGCAGGACTTGCCATCCCTGAACCCATGTTGATGCTGTGTTAAAAAGTTCTTTCGCTCCAGATGTTCTACTAGCTATCTTCGCACAGTTTTCTCCATTAGCTAGCATGGTATGCAGGTTAGGGACACTGGCCTGTAGTTCAGTGCCTTCTGTCTATCTTATATATCGGGACTACATTAGCTGCTTTCCAAATTTCTGGTATTTTCTCTGTGTGTGTGTACTAACTTATTTTTATTTTTGTCTGCAGGATCGACCATTAACTTCTGGATCCCGCTGTGTGTGTGTGTGTGTGTGTGTGTGTGTGTGTGTGTGTGTGTGTGTGTGTGTGTGTGTGTGTGTGTGTGTGTGTGTGTGTGTGTGTGTGTGTGTGTGTGTGTGTGTGTGTGTGTGTGCGTGCGTGCGTGCGTGCGTGCGTGCGTGCGTGCGTGCGTGCGTGCGTGTGTGTGTGTGTGTGTGTGTGTGTGTGTGTGTGTGTGTGTGTGTGTGTGTGTGTGTGTGTGTGTGTGTGTGTGTGTGTGTGTGTGTGTGTGTGTGTGTGCGTGTGTGTGTGTGTGTGTGTTTGGAGTAGGGGTGGGCGATGACAAGGCATTGGTTGGAACTGTATGAAAGCAGATAAGACTAAGTTTTCTCAAGTTTAATAATCAGATTAAGCAATAACGAAGACCTTAACTATATTTTACAATAAATACATATACAACAATCTTTCTTTCAAACAGCATGTGCATTAGAACCGAAAAATAAATGCCTGAAGTACAAGGGCGTGTGTAAGAAGAAGTGCGGGACGAAGGAGCGCCAGATAGCCAAGGGCTGCACCAAGAAGAAGTGCGTCTGCTGTGCCAAGGCTTGCAAGCCCACGGACCACTGTAAGACTAACGGAGGCTTCTGTGTGGACAAGAAGAAGTCCTGTACAGGACGGGTGGACAAGGATGGCTGCAAGGGAACCAAATGTCTCTGTTGTTATCCAGGTAAGCTTACCATTTGTAATTTTTTCCAGTATATTGGTGCATATATATGTGCATGTGTAAATCAATGTACATTAGTGAAGTGATCCAAAATATTTAGTTTCTGCATTACCTTGTTTGTTGCTTGATATCCCACAGTAAACAAGTGTTATCATCTTCAAAACAGCTACCCAGGTTATCCAAGTTTCTGTGTTGCTGAAAATTCTAGTTGCATTTCGTAGACTCTAATATTAAATCACTCATTTGCTGCTAAAATAAAGAGAATACTGGCACAAGTACTTAGAATAATTAAATTGCTACGTTATATATGACACCAGAATGTTGTTACTGGATTATACTAGTGTCATATTTAAATTTAGAATATGTAACTTGTTTATAGGTCATGGTAAGACATGATCTTTGCTGCAGGCACAGATGAGGCATATAAAATGTAGTTAGACTACTAAATGTTGTCGGCAAATTGTATATCAGAATAGCGAGTGGATGAGCCTTGATAACTAAAAGTTTTGGAATGATGAACAACATGGGTTTTGATGTGGAAAGGATTGCGTGGATGAGATATCTGCACTGAGACTAATGATAGGGAAAGTATTTGAGAAAGATTATAGTGTATATGTCATTTTGTTTGATAGGTTAACAGAGAGGGAGTCTAGAAATTTTTGAACACTGGTGGATTTGGTAGAATTTCAATAAATGTTGAGGAATGCTATGCTGAAAGAGAATATATGAAAGCACATAACAGTGTAAAGGGTGACTGATTTAGAGAAATTAAACAAATGGAGTCATAAATGGATAATAACATTTAATATAGATAAGAATGAATGTGAATGATGGTATTGCAGTTGAGGACGTAAACTATGAGCAAATTTTAAGGAAATCAGATATAAAAATAAGGCTGTCTGAGAATGATTACAAATTAAAAAATAAAGTTAGGCAGGAAATCGTATTAGTTCTGTTAGGATGCGATTTTTGCTGTCAATAAATTTCAGGATGGCCTAAAAGTGTAAGGAAAAAGAAATGCGGCATATATTAGTCATAAAAAAACAAATTGGACCAACGTGACGTGCGCAGCTGTAGTATTGTGCCCACTCATAAACAAATTTGCCAGCCAAATAGAAAATATTAAAATATAGGCAACCACGGGCTACTGGGACCGGAAATGCTTAAACTTGATGACAGAAGACACATCCAGCTGGAAGATCAAAACGAACGATCACGAGGTCATAAAACTACTTTGCTTGTTGGTCAAAAGTGCACAACTGCTTGTTGCTCAAGAATGGGCCGGAATTGTCAATAAGATTTACTTTTCTTATTGACAATTTAAAATTACTTTTCATTTCGAGGCCCCTTCAGTAGAGGAGGCCCCTAGGTGAGAGATTTGTTAACATTAACTCATTTTCAAAAGTAAACAGACAAACAATGTGTTTGTTAATTATTTTGTCTTTTCCAGAATTGAAACCGACATCAAGGCCACCCTTGACTACCTCTGGAGTAAACACAACACACCCGGGATCAGGATCAAACACAACTGCATCAGGATCAAACACAACAGCTGGGTCGAATACTACAGCCTCAGGATCAAATACAACAGCTGGGTCGAATACTACAGCCTCAGGATCAAATACAACAGCTGGGTCGAATACTACAGCCTCAGGATCAAATACAACAGCTGGGTCGAATACTACAGCCTCAGGAACAAATACAACAGCTGGGTCGAATACTACAGCCTCAGGATCAAATACAACAGCTGGGTCGAATACTACAGCCTCAGGATCAAATACAACAGCTGGGTCGAATACTACAGCCTCAGGATCAAATACAACAGCTGGGTCGAATACTACAGCCTCAGGAACAAATACAACAGCTGGGTCGAATACTACAGCCTCAGGATCAAATACAACAGCTGGGTCGAATACTACAGCCTCAGGATCAAATACAACAGCTGGGTCGAATACTACAGCCTCAGGATCAAATACAACAGCTGGGTCGAATACTACAGCCTCAGGATCAAATACAACAGCTGGGTCGAATACTACAGCCTCAGGATCAAATACAACAGCTGGGTCGAATACTACAGCCTCAGGATCAAATACAACAGCTGGGTCGAATACTACAGCCTCAGGATCAAATACAACAGCTGGGTCGAATACTACAGCCTCAGGATCAAATACAACAGCCATTGGATCAAACACGACGATTTCGGGACAAAGCACAACTGCTGTTTCCAACACTACAGCTACTTCTTCCAACACTACAGCTGTTGGTTCCCAAACTACAGCTGCTGCTTCCAACACTACAGCTGGTGTTTCCAACACTACAACTGCTGCTTCCAACACTACAGCTGCTGGTTCCCAAACTACAGCTGCTGCTTCCAACACTACAACTGTTGGTTCCCAAACTACAGCTGTTGCTTCCAACACTACAGCTGGTGTTTCCAACACTACAGCTGCTGCTTCCAACACTACAGCTGTTGGTTCCAACACTACAGCTGCTGCTTCCGACACTACAACTGCTGCTTCAACCACTACAACAGCTGCTTCAACCACTACAACAGCTGCTTCAACCACTACAACTGATGTTTCAACCACTACAACAGCTGCTTCAACCACTACAACAGCCGCTTCAACCACTACAACAGCTGCTTCAACCACTACAACTGATGTTTCAACCACTACAACAGCTGCTTCAACCACTACAACAGCTGCTTCAACCACTACAACAGCTGCTTCCACCACTACAACAGCTGCTTCAACCACTACAACAGCTGCTTCCACCACTACAACAGCTGCTTCAACCACTACAACTGCTGCTCCCACCACTACAACTGCGAATACAACACTTGGGAATCTCACTGCGCAACGCAGCCAACTGCTCGCTACCTTAAACACCACCAATAATGTAATCACTTCTCTTCAAAACATTCAAACTGTACTTAACAGTACTATTTCTACGCTTAGCCCAACAACTGGACGAAGAAGGAAGCGCAGTTCTTTAACAGACATTCAGGCGATTCAAATGCTTATCGCCTCCACCAACGTAGCGTTAACAACGGCAAATATTACCGGTTTGAATACCCTGTTACCGTTACTGATATCTGCGGAAGCAACACTGCTCCAGATACTAGTGACGGTAGTTGGCAATCCATCAACAGTTGATCCGAGCCTTCTGCAGGCCGTGCAGTCGACTCTCAACAGCGTCAATGTTACTTTAACCGCTGCCCAAGCTTTGCGTGCCAGTACAACCAGTGAATTTAATACGGTTCAGCAGAGCATCACCCAGCTCGGTGGAACCACAGTGGCCTTACCCACTGCTCCTCCGACCATCACAGTTCCCCCCAACCTGACCGTCACTAGCACCTCAAGTTCCGCAACGATTACAACAACCCTTGGCAATATAACGAATTCAACAGCCTCAAATACAACACCGAATGCAACAACATTTGCTAATGCTACCGATTCGACGACTTCCGCTAATGCTACTACGACTTCCGCTAATGCTACGACGACTTCCGCTAATGCTACGACGACTTCCGCTAATGCTACGACGACTTCCGCTAATGCTACAATTTCAACCACCTCTGCTAATGCTACAAATTCAACGACCTCCGTTAATACTACAGCTTCAACATCCCTGGACAATACTACTACTACTGCAGTAAACATTACACTTTCTGGGCTCTATTCACAACTCAGTCAGCTTCAAAATTCCCTAAACGCCACAGATAGTACGATTTCGGCTCTACAAGCTCTTCAAGATCAACTTAATAATATATTAATAATAATTAACACCACTTTAAATGGACGCCGGAGAAAACGCAGCGTCTATGATGACGTCTTGGCGATCCAAACTCTCGTTGCCAACGCCACTAACGCCCTGGAACAAGGAAATGTTACCGCTTTAAATAGTTTAATTCCACAACTTATTGCCGCGAAGGCTACGTTAACCCAATTAACAGAACTGATATCAAGCAATACTTCAGTAGTCAATACAACCCTTCAAGCTGAGGTGCAGGCAGCGTTGAGCAGCGTCGACGCTGCCTTAGCCGCCGCACAAACTGAGAGAAACAAAATAGTGAGTGATATAAACGCCGTTCAGCAAGCCATCGTCCAGCAGGGCGGGACCACCGTCACTGTCCCCTCCGCCCAGACACAGGACGCCTCCGCCACCACAGTCACTTCATCCACAAGTTCCACAAACAGTTCAGCGACAACAATTTCAGGCGTTGCTGCAGACAACACGACAACTGCAGCAGACAACGCGACATCTGCAGCAGGCAGCACGATAACTGCAGCAGGCAACGCGACCACTGCAGCAGACAACGCGACAACTGCAGCAGGCAACACGTCAACTGCAGCAGGCAACGCGACAACTTCAGCAGGCAACGCGATAACTGCAGCAGACAACGCGACAACTGCAGCAGACAACACGACAACTGCAGCAGGCAGCACGACAACTGCAGCAGGCAACGGGACCACTGCAGCAGGCAACGCGATAACTGCAGCAGACAACGCGACAACTGCAGCAGACAACACAACAACAACTACAGCAGATACTGCAACAACAACTACAGCAGATACTGCAACAACAACTACAGCAGATACTGCAACAACAACTACAGCAGATACTGCAACAACAACTACAGCAGACACTGCAACAACAACTACAGCAGACACTGCAACAACAACTACAACAGACACTGCAACAACAACTACAGCAAACACTACCAACAGTAATGCATCAGCAGCTGCCCTCACTTCACAACTCACCCAACTACAATCCGAATTAAATGCCACAAATAGCGCGACTCTGGCACTTCAAGAGGCTAACAATACCCTCACCACTCTTGCAAGCGCAGTTCAGGCAGCACTTCCAGCGAGGAGGAAACGCAGCGCCGCGGACGACATCCTGGCCTTACAATCCATCGCAGATCAAATTTCAAAAGCCATTTCTTCGGGAAACTTCACCGGTCTCCCTACTCTGGTTGAGCAGCTTAAAGCGGCGGCGGCCACTCTGACGCAACTTACCCAAGCGATTCAAAATGGGTCTGTGACAGTGGATGCTTCCCTTCAAGCCTCCGTGGTGGGCGCCATTGCCTCAGTGAACACCGCCGCCAGCACCGCCGCTCAGGCCAGCAATACCATGGCCAGCGAAATCGCAAGCGTTCAGGAAAGCCTCACTCAGTTAGGGGTAACGACAGTGGCCGTGGACACAACGGCGCCAGTAACCTCGGCTCCTCTCCAGACTACTGTTGCAGCATCAGACACCACTGTTGCAGCATCAGACACCACTGTTGCAGCATCAGACACTACTGTTGCAGCATCAGACACTACTGTTGCAGCATCAGACACTACTGTTGCAGCATCAGACACTACTGTTGCAGCATCAGACACTACTGTTGCAGCATCAGACACTACTGTTGCAGCATCAGACACTACTGTTGCAGCGTCGGACACTACTGTTGCAGCATCGGACACTACAGTTGCAGCATCAGACACTACTGTTGCAGCATCAGACACTACTGTTGCAGGATCAGATACCACTGTTGCAGCATCAGACACCACTGTTGCAGCATCAGACACTACTGTTGCAGCATCAGACACTACTGTTGCAGCATCGGACACTACTGTTGCAGCATCAGACACTACTGTTGCAGCATCAGACACTACTGTTGCAGCATCAGACACTACTGTTGCAGGATCAGACACTACTGTTGCAGCGTCGGACACTACTGTTGCAGCATCAGACACTACTGTTGCAGCGTCGGACACTACTGTTGCAGCATCAGACACTACTGTTGCAGCGTCGGACACTACTGTTGCAGCATCGGACACTACTGTTGCAGCATCAGACACTACTGTTGCAGCATCAGACACTACTGTTGCAGCAACAGACACCACTGTTGCAGCATCGGACACTACTGTTGCAGCAACAGACACTACTGTTGCAGCATCGGACACTACTGTTGCAGCATCAGACACTACTGTTGCAGCATCAGACACTACTGTTGCAGCATCGGACACTACTGTTGCAGCAACAGACACTACTGTTGCAGCATCAGACACTACTGTTGCAGCAACAGACACTACTGTTGCAGCAACAGACACCACTGTTGCAGCATCAGACACTACTGTTGCAGGATCAGACACTACTGTTGCAGCATCAGACACTACTGTTGCAGCATCGGACACTACTGTTGCAGCATCAGACACTACTGTTGCAGCAACAGACACTACTGTTGCAGCATCAGACACTACTGTTGCAGCAACAGACTCTACTGTTGCAGCAACAGACACTACTGTTGCAGCAACAGACACCACTGTTGCAGCAACAGACACTACTGTTGCAGCAACAGACACTACTGCTGCAGCAACAGACACTACTGTTGCAGCAACAGACACTACTGCTGCCAGCGGCTAGTGCTGCTACAATAACAGCGAGTACTAACAACCTCAGTTGTAACAACCACCATAACAATCGTGACCATTACAACCTAGGTTACAACAATAACAGCAGCAGCTATAACAATCATGATCACTACAACAGCAGGTATAACAATCATGGCCACTACAACAGCAGCTATAACAATAATTGCCACAACATCTGCAGGTATAACAATCTTGGCCACTGCAACAGCAGATATCAATTATGTCCACTGCAACAGCAAGTATAACAATCATGGCCACTACAACAGCAGATATAACAATCATGACCACTACAACAGCAGACATCATGGCCCCTGCAACAGCAGGTATAACAATCATGGCCCCTACAACAGCAGATATAACAATCATGACCACTACAACAGTAGGTATAACAATCATGGCCCCTACAACATCAGGTATAGCAATCATGGCAACTATAACGATCAAGGCAACTACAATAACTGATGTAACAATCATTCCCACTAGAACATAAGGTATAACAATCAAGGCCACTACAACATCAGATATAACAATCAGGGCCACTACAACTGCAGGTATAACAATCATGGCCACAACATCAGCAGGTATAACAATCATGTCCACTACAACAGCAGGTATAACAATCATGGCCACCACAACAGCAGGTATACCAATCATATCCACTACAACAGCAGGTATAACAATCATGGCCACTACAACAGCAGGTATAACAATCATGGCCACAACATCAGCATGTATAACAATCATGGCCACTACAACAACAGGTATACCAATCATGGCCACTACAACAACAGGTACATCAATCATGGCCACTACAACAGCAGGTCTAACAATAGTAGGGACAATATATACTTCAACAAGCTTTAATTCGTCAATATTACTTCAATTAAAAAATTATTTTCTACTTTGTTGATAATGATGTAATTCATATTTTTTATGCTATTCGTGTGATTCCTATTTATTAATGTGTATTTTACTATATTATCAATTATTTTAATTATTTTACATTAAACACGTATGTTTATGAGAACAATGAAATGGGTGACAATAAACTAATATGTGTATTATTCTGATGTTTATTACTATCATGATCACTATTCCGGCTCTGTGCTAGCCATTCTGAGGGCTGTCCTAAGCATTGTCAAAAACTGTTCTAGGCAATTAAAAATCTACAGTTCAGGATTGTGTTTAATTATCCCGCGTTAATATATATGCTTAAGCGATTATGTACATTGCTTTTGCGATTTTGTATGTGTATTTGTTACGGACCCGAGCCCAGCGTCGTAGCACGGAGCATTGACGTCCACGCCACGTGAGTCAGCTCCCGAATCCCCCTATAAATGGACAACGCCATCTAGTGAGGACGGGATATACCGGCCACAGGGGCTGGATTCCCGTCTTAATCAGCTCGTAACATAGCCGCTGCTGACTTCTGGTGAGGTGGCGCTTAGACAGAACGCCATCTATGGAGTGGATAGGTGGATGTTTGTGTCTAAGCCTGTAAGTGAGGTGCCCTAGAGTGTCCCTAGTACTAATGACGTGTCTGATTACAGAGTCGACCTGGGACTGCTGTATTGGACGATGGGGCAGTCTACCCAAGGCAGCCATAGTCTCTCCACGTGTTTGCTGCAGAAGCTGTGAGTTGCTCCCGGACGAACACTGCTGAGAGTGTTAGCCAGCCTGTGACGAGGCAGAGTTGAGGAATCGTCGTACCCGGGGGTTGACTGGTGGAAGAGACTAGCCCCTGTGGTGCTATAGAGAGGAGAGTGATCAGCGGAATCACACGAGGGTCCTGCCTAGGGCTCGCAACCCTAGTATCGGTCGTGGAGTGGCCTATGCAGCGGAGCTGATTGGAACCTGCCAGCTACAGGCTGGATTTGTGGTTGAAGTCCTCCACGACGGTGCACCCAGTGGGACTGTGATTTGGCTGGCCTGTGGCCAGGGTAGATTCGCCTAGAGAATCAAAGGATTCATCGTGAGGCCACGAGAAGAGAACCAGGGCTACTCATCTTGAGCACCGTAGAGCATCCTGTGTCTTCGGAGGGAGACAAGTTATTGTATATAAGTGTAGTTATAGCACCAGCGAGTGACTGTGAGATATATATTTATGGTGGTGGTTAATATATATATTTAATTTAGTGTATTGGTATCCCTTCCCCTTTAATTTACTTGCGTTACGGAACACACCCCTTGAAAGCCACTACTAACTTGGGGCCGGATACCCAAACTCTAATAATATCAGAGAAGAACCCCAGTTGCGACCCAATAGGGCCGTAACAGTATTTAGTTACACATGTATGCAGCAAACGTTTATATTTGCTGAGGCTGAACTCAAGCTCATAAGCCGTCTCTCTTAAATATTAATCACAGGTTATATAAATTATTATCTTCCTAGTCTCGTAGTGCAGTTGGTGGTTGTTTGCATGTAGGTCCTTCCTAACCACTTCACATACTTCGGTTACTTTGGTATGTTGTGAAGGCTCCTGTGTCAGGTTAGGTCGGCGCTGGTGGGTTTCGACGGTTCTTTGGCATGATTGTTCTCCTCCCATGTCTGGTCGTGGATGCTGGGTTGTAGACCTGCTAGGACGAGGTGGTCCTTGATGGACTTACCTCGCCTCCACGCAATCATTGGTGGATTTTGCGGGAAAGTCTTCCAAGAATGTTGGTCACTGTATGTCTCCCTCAATTAGGTCCATACTTCTCAGATTGTCTGTTTTAGTTCCCCGCAAAACCAGGAAAGAACAGGGGTAAGGAGGATCCGGCCGTCTCCTATCCTCCAACCGTGTGGCCGGGGGCCTGAGAAGTTGTTCTATGGTCTTCCCGCATAGTTTCTCCTGGGCGTAGTTCAGCGTTTCCTCAGGGTAACCTCTGCGCCTAAACGTCACCCACAGGTCGTCTAGCTGGGGGTAGAGGATTTCGTCCTTGTTGTTTATTCTTTTAAGGCGTAATCCTAGGGAGAAGGGTAATGATTTCTTTAGGGCTAGCGGATGGAATGAGTCGAACTTCACGTATGTGTGAAGGTTCGTAGGCATGTAATATGGCATCGTGTTAAGGTGTCGGGTTGTCTCGTCCACGTACATTGTGGTGTTGATAAAATTCATTGTGGTGTCGACGTGTTCTAGGATAAATTTGATGTTTCCGTGGAGTTGAGTCAGTCAGGTGCTGTCACAGTGAGAGGTTGTGTTAGCTGGAGCTCTGGAGTAACATTATTATTGCAATAATGGAAGGATTAGTAAATGATTTGGTGAGTTTGGTTGGAGCTCTGAGAGCAGAGATGGACTCCCTGTGGGAGGAGGTACGACGGCTGAGACTTCAAGAGGAAACGAAGGAGGAGACCAGTGTTGACGAGACCTCATCGTGGAGAGTAGTGAAAGACAGGGGTCTTAAGAAGACCTTGACAAGGCCGCCTACAGACGCCCTAAGGACGGCAAATTCATTTGCCGTGTTGGAGGACGAGTGCTGTAGTGTGCCTGCAGCGAAGAAATCAGCGAGGAACGGCGGAGCACAGGCCCCTCAGGCTGCTCAGAAAGTTAGGGCGGTACCGAAGCGAATTTTGGTTGTGGGAGATTCCCAGGTGAGGTATTTAGACAGAACGATTTGTGCCAGAGATAGGAGGAACAGATTAAGGGTTTGCTATCCGGGAGCTGGAATTGGTGATATTGTTTAAAACGCTTTAAAAGAGACTAACGTCGTCTATGCCTTCAAATGCCCACTTGGGGACTGTAAGCTCCAAAAAACCCAGTATATAGGCAAGACAACAACATCTCTTTCTAGGCGTTTAACGATGCATAAGCAACAGGGCTCCATTAAGGAACATATAATCTCTTCCCACAAGCAAACCATCGCCAGAGAAATCCTAGTAAACAACACAGAAATCATCGATAGATACAGCGATAGCAGGCGGCTTGACGTTTGCGAGGCACTACACATCAAGAAGTCAACACCAGCAATCAACAGCCAATTATTGCACAACTATATTCTACCCACCTCAAGACTCCGCTCCAATATAGAAGCATCAAGAAATATGGACCAATAGGCTTTCTACAAACACTTCTATTCAATACCCATTGTTTCTGTTCTGTCTTGTGTTGATACTTTTAATACCCTATTAATATCCCCTCCTGTTCTGTCTTGTGTTATGCCACATCACCCTTCCCACCTCACTCAAATGTAGATATAATATCAGAGAGACGTAAGTTCTAATCAGTTGTGTATTTGTGAAGTCTTTGAAAATGTAATAAGTTTTACGAAACGCGCCCGTGTCGCGTCAGACTAGAAATAAAAATGAATTTTGGAGAAGTGATTTTTGATTTACCTCCAACAGTGAAGCGTAATGTACGAAAGATTGAGAAAATTCGTGTTAGAATTATTAATCTTACTTTTTCGGTCATATTTAATAATATATGTCTACAGGAAAGACTGCTACCAAAATATACTAATATATATATATATATATATATATATATATATATATATATATATATATATATATATATATATGATATATATATCATATATATATATATATGATATATATATCATATATATATATATATATATATATATATGATATATATATCATATATATATATATATATATATATATATATATGATATATATATATATATATATATAAATATATATATATATATATGTCGTACCTAATAGCCAGAAAGCACTTCTCAGCCTACTATTCAAGGCCCGATTTGCCTAATAAGCCAAGTTTTCATGAATTAATGTTTTTTCGTCTACCTAACCTACCTAACCTAACCTAACCTAGCTTTTTTTGGCTACCTAACCTAACCTTACCTATAAATATAGGTTAGGTTAGGTTAGGTAGGGTTGGTTAGGTTCGGTCATATATCTACGTTAATTTTAACTCCAATAAAAAAAAATTGACCTCATACATAGAGAAAAGGGTTGCTTTATCATTTCATAAGAAAAAAATTATAGTAAATATATTAATTCAGGAAAACTTGGCTTATTAGGCAAATCGGGCCTTGAATAGTAGGCTGAGAAGTGAGTTCTGGCTACTAGGTACGACATATATATATATATATATATATATATATATATATATATATATATATATATATATATATATATATGTCGTACCTAGTAGCCAGAACGCACTTCTCAGCCTACTATGCAAGGCCGGATTTGCCTAATAAGCCAAGTTTTCCTGAATTAATATATTTTCTCTAATTTTTTTCTTATAAAATGATAAAGCTACCCATTTCATTATATATGAGGTCAATTTTTTTTATTGGAGATAAAATTAACGTAGATATATGACCGAACCTAACCAACCCAACCTAACCTAACCTAACCTATTTTTATAGGTTAGGTTAGGTTAGGTAGCAGAAAAAGCTAGGTTAGGTTAGGTTAGGTAGGTTAGGTAGTCGAAAAACAATTAAATCATGAAAACTTGGCTTATTAGGCAAATCGGGCCTTGCATAGTAGGGTGAGAAGTGCGTTCTGGCTATTAGGTACGATATATATATATATATATATATATATATATATATATATATATATATATATATATATATATATATATATATATATATATATATATATATATATATATATATATATATATATATATATATATGCGTCCCATACTCCCAGGAACAACGCAACTGGTCACTTCTGAAGTAGTGAAGAGTCACTTCTGGGGTGTGAGTTTTCAGTTGCATATTGTCCTGGGGACCATTCAGGCTTGTTCGCATTTGTGTTCCTCACGTGTGCCCCAAAGAATGAGGTGATTTGGTAAAATGCTTTGCCCAAGATTACCATCCGAGTGCCGGCGGTGGGGTGGTTCAAATAGCTTCGGCTATCACCTCATTATGTCCAGCTGTGATGGTCAAGTGGATTAAGGTGTCTTGTACATACCAGTTGCGTTGCTCCTGGGAGTATGGGTTCGAGTCACTTCTGGGGTGTGAGTTTTCAGTTGCATATTGTCCTGGGGACCATTCAGGCTTGTTCACATTTGTGTTCCTCACGTGTGCCCCAAAGAATGAGGTGATTTGGTAAAATGCTATGCCCAAGATTACCATCCGAGTGCCGGCGGTGGGGTGGTTCAAATAGCTTCGGCTATCACCTCATTATGTCCGGTCGTGATGGTCAAGTGGATTAAGGCGTCTTGTACATACCAGTTGCGTTGCTCCTGGGAGTATGGGTTCGAGTCACTTCTGGGGTGTGAGTTTTCAGTTGCATATTGTCCTGGGGACCATTCAGGCTTGTTCGCATATATATATATATATATATATATATATATATATATATATATATATATATATATATATATATATATATATATATATATATATATATATATATATATATGGGTTCATGTCTCACTCTAAGACAGGCCCACACCCCATACCCAAGACTTTCCAATCTATTTGACCCAAAAAATTTCTTAGGCTATTAAAATCAGCTTTTCGAAAATCTGGCACTTTAACAGAATTTTCTCCTTCAGGTCTATTCCATTCTATGCTAAATTTGATTACTTTGTGATCACTGTTATATATATATATATATATATATATATATATATATATATATATATATATATATATATATATATATATATATAACTATTCAGTTGCATATTGTCCTGGGGACCATTCAGGCTTGTTCGCATATATATATATATATATATATATATATATATATATATATATATATATATATATATATATATATATATATATATATATATATATATATATATGTCGTACCTAGTAGCCAGAACGTACTTCTCAGCCTACTATGCAAGGCCCGATTTGCCTAATAAGCCAAGTTTTCATGAATTAATTGTTTTTCGACTACCTAACCTACCTAACCTAACCTAACCTAACTTTTTCGGCTACCTAACCTAACCTAACCTATAGAGATAGGTTAGGTTAGGTTAGGTAGGGTTGGTTAGGTTCGATCATATATCTACGTTAATTTTGACTCCAATAAAAAAAAAATGACCTCATACATAATAAAATGGGTAGCTCTATCATTTCATAAGAAGAAAATTAGAAAAAATATATTAATTCAGGAAAACTTGGCTTATTAGGCAAATCGGGCCTTGCATAGTAGGCTGAGAAGTGCGTTCTGGCTATTAGGTACGACATATATATATATATATATATATATATATATATATATATATATATATATATATATATATATATATATATATATATATATATATATATATATATATATATATATATATATATATATATATGTCGTACCTAGTAGCCAGAACGCACTTTTCAGCCTACTATGCAAGGCCCGATTTGCCTAATAAGCCAAGTTTTCATGAATTAATGTTTTTTCGACTACCTAACCAATCTAACCTAACCTGACCTAACTTTTTCGGCTACCTAACCTAACCTAACCTATAAAGATAGGTTAGGTTAGGTTAGGTAGGGTTGGTTAGGTTCGGTCATATATCTACGTTAATTTTAACTCCAATAAAATAAAATTTACCTCATACATAATGAAATGGGTAGCTTTATCATTTCATAAGAAAAAATTAGAGAAAATATATTAATTCATGAAAACTTGGCTTATTAGGCAAATCGGGCCTTGCATAGTAGGCTGAGAAGTACGTTCTGGCTACTAGGTACGACATATATATATATATATATATATATATATATATATATATATATATATATATATATATATATATATATATATATATATTTATATATATATAAATACCCGCCATTACACCCTCCCCTGTTCCCTCGTCAGTACAACCATTCCCCAATTCCGTACAACCATATATATATATATATATATATATATATATATATATATATATATATATATATATATATATATATATATATATATATATATATATATATATATATATATATATATATATATATATATATATATATATATATATATATATATATATATATATATATATATATATATATATATATATATGGTTGTACGGAAGTGGGGAATGGTTGTACTGACGAGGGAACAGGGGAGGGTGTAATGGCGGGTAGGACGAGAGGACGGAGAAGTTGGGGATGGTGGGGACGAGGGGACAGGTGA